CCCGCCAGCCCCGCCCCCCGCGGGCCGCATGTCGCGCGCTCGCAGCATGCGCGCGCCACTAAGCTCCCCGAGCCGCGCCGCGCCGCCCCCGCCTGCCGACTGCTCCCTCACTCTCTCTCTCTCACTGTGTCACTGTCTCTCTGGCTGTCTGTATATGTGTCTCTGTCTCTTCGTGAATGTCCGTCCGCGTACGTCTGTCACTCTCTCTCCGTCTGTTCGTCTGTCTGAATGTTTGTGTCATGTCTTGACTGTGAGGCGCAGGCCGGCTCGGGTGCTGGAGCACTTCTGGTGTCACTAACGCGTTTCTGTATGGTGTCCGTTCGTTGGTCTGTCTGTGTTAGAGCTCTCAACTCTCCAGAAAGACGCTCGTTATGATTGGTAACAGTTTTGCGGTACTGTGTGCTGCTAGCGTTGGGCTCCATCAAAAAACTAAAATAGTATTATGTTTGGGCGTTCTTAATCGGAATAGTCCCGTAGATAGTCATATACTCAGTGAAAGAAATTAGTGTGAGAAGAAAACGTGATGAAACAGTCCAGAAATAATGAATTCCCTTGCCGGAAGTTGATATATGCGTACGTAGACCTTCATTTGATCAATCTTATATTAAAGCCCAGGAAATAAACATATCTGTCACAATTGTAAATTCATAGAACTACAAATTTCAACAGACCAAAATTACGAATTTTATAGCTTTTATGTATTTTATTATTCCTGTTTATTTTGAAGCATTTTATGAGATCTGTTTTACATAAACCACTCCGCGTTTAATGACTTTTCCGATGTCAACGTAAAGAAATTGAAGCTATAAGAGTGCGCAATCATCTGAGGAACAAATTTATAATATTGTTTGAGTATTTCAAATTACTTAGGTATGAAGAAACATCGCTGATTACAAAGTATTTGACGTGTAGACTTGAGTTGATATTAAGTTCGCGTAATGCGTTTAAAACTTTCCTCGGAGAAAAAGTCAGTTGAAAGAATGTACTTGTATATTTCCTCAACTCCGCACAATTACTTCTGAAGTAACTTCACAGTAGT